TTTCTATGAAAGTAGAACAGTTTTTTAACAAGAGAATCCCAAAATTTGTAATAATTTGCCAAACTAAGGCAGAGAATGACAAAACTTACATTGACATGACAAGGTAGATGCGTTTTTCAGCGAAAAAGTCAGAATTTCAGATCTATGATCCTAAAATCTTAAATTTAAAACTAAAATGTATTATTTTTGCAGTTCTCAATGAATTTGAAGGGTTTTCAAAGACGAATTTATAAAATTCAAAAAATTTTACTAGACCAAAGTAGGAAATTGACAGTGTTTCTAAAATATGTTTTTCTAGTCAATTAAATCACACTGCTCATTCAACAAATTTAGAGCGCTTTTTAATGAGAAAATCACAAGTTTTTTTTAGATTTTACACAACAAAGCAGAAAAATTGCAAAATTAAGTCTGGAACTGAAATGCATTATTTTCTGTGAAAGTAGAAGCGTTTTTCAATGTTTTTCGTTTGTTCCGATTGATTTAGAGCTAGTTTCAGCAAAAACTTTTATAAAAACTCACTCAATTAGTTTTGTTTTTTAATCAAATGAAGTCAATAATGCATTATTTTGGCTCATTTCAACAAATTTAAAGCGCTTTTCAACAAGAAATGAAATTCACAAAATTTTAGGGCTTTTACAAAACAAAACAGAAAAATTGCCAAATTAAGTCTGAATCTGGAGTAAATTATTTTCTATGAAAGTAGAAGGGCTTTTCAGCGAGAAAGTCGCAAAATTTRTAATATTTCGCCAAAATAAGACAGGAAATGACAAAATTACACTTGAAATGCGTTGTTTTCGCTTGTTTTAATAAATTTTGCGTAATTTTTAGCAAAAAATTTTTTTTATTTTTTACTAAGAAAGTGACTATAAATTCGAAAGATTTTAATTAAACAAAGCCACAAATTTGAAAATCAATTCTAAGGCTCGTTATTTTTGTATGTTTTGATAAGTTGGATGCTTTTTTATATAGAAACTCATTCAATTCAAAATATTTTTCCAAAACAAAGCAGAAAATCGTTGAACTATTTTTAAAATATATAAAAAAATTTTGCTTGTCCTGATTTTCAGCAAAAACTATTTTGCTTATTTTAATAGATTAACGGCAGTTTTTTACAAAAAAAACTCACTAAAAACAGAACAAAGGTGAAAATCAGTACATTAAGTCTATTTTTGCATGTTTCAATAGATTTATTAGAGTATTTTCACCCAGAAACCTAGAAACTTCGAAACATTTTAAAAGTATGTTTTTTTTAAACAATTAAAGTCAAAAATGCATTATTTCAACAAATTTAGAGCTTTTTCAGCGAGAAACTCACACAATTTTACAGATTTTTTCAAACACACAGGAAAGTTGCTAAAAAGTCTGAATTTAAAATAAATTATTTATTTCTATAAAAGTAGAAGAGTTTCTTGCGTTGTGTTCTTGTCCTGATGGATTTAGAGCAATTTTAAGTAAAAAAAAACTTTATAAAATTTGTTAGATTTTAATGCAAATTAATATTAGTAACAATATTTTTATTAAAATAGGTCACTAATCATCTCTTTGTTTCCTGTTTAGTTCGTTTATATTTTTAATTTTTTTGACTAAACAGGACCGGGTTATCCATAAATTTTAAATGGTCCATTCTACATAGTTTCTGTTTACTTTTGCAACTCCCAGCAGCAATAAACGACGCAATTTCCTGCATTTGTGTATTTGCCTGTAATAAAAACACCAAAAATGCGTTTCACTCTATCCCAGCTTTGCTGTTTCTGTAATTAAATAAAAACCGACAGTGCATTATCAGTGAATATTTCGAGCAATTAAAATTTTAATAAAACGCTCGTACGTCGAATCTTTATTAAAAAACTTGCAAATACGTCACAAAGTGCCTATTTGAAAAAAACAAACGCAATTTGCAATAAATTCCTCCTGAGCCATTATTGTGCTTCCGCCGTGAAAATCTCCCTACACTGCTAAAACTCATCGGGCTCCCGACCGGCGACAGCCCCCCAAGAGGCGGCGCAAGACCTAATTGTGGGGGCTCTTAATTGTCGCGATTTTTGCTCCATCCATTAGAGTCCATTAGTCGGCGATTGGTTACTGGAAATTTTCAATGAACGACACGGCGATTTTTGCCAACAGCGTGCCTAATTTGCATCGCATTCGGATGGGATTTGGCCCATGATGAGGTTTATTTTTTACGGTTATGCTGGTTGTGTTAATCCGCAAGGTGGAGATGCCGCGATAAAGCCCAAGAATCGCCGTATAATTCCATTAAGGCAACTAATACTTAATCTGGCGGAACAAGCGACAATTTGGGCATGCTTGCGCTTCGTAATTATATTTTCAACCCACTTAAATAATGATGAATGCGACCGGAAGAAAAAAAAAATGTCTAGTTTAAAAAGCAAAATAAGTTAAAATACCATAAATCTTTATTATAAAAGCAGAATCAGTTTAGTAAAATTCCATAAAACAAAAATAAAAAAATGTAAAGAAAATAAAAATTATACTAGACAACAGAGTGAAGTCTTCTTTACCAATGTGTAAAATTTTGCTTTCCCATGTTTAATAGTACAAAAGTTTAAGGCATTCAAGTTAATAGTTGTATTTTCATAATTCTTGACATAAAAGTTTTCAATGCCGCAACCGAAAACTTAAGAAAAATAATTTCATAGCGTTGTGAAAGTTGTCATTTAAAAAAAAAGAGTTGAATACAGTCCTGGAATAATGGAACACCGTATTATATGTATGTCAAAAACTATGACAGATAAGTACTAACAACTACGTAAATTTTATTCAGTTTGGAGAATTCAAAAATGAAATAAAAATAAGTGAAAAAAATGAGGATGTCCTGGAAGAGGCAGATGCGACGAAATATCGTCTGCTTACTTGTAAAACCTTCTAAGTTCGATTTTCAGTTATTTAGATTTAGAAGGATTTACAAATAAGCCGAGGAAATGCCGAGGGCACAGCCCCCGTGAGCCCCATCGGGGGCAAAGCCCCATATGCTTACTTATAAAATCTTCTAAAAAACCCCACAAATAACTTTGAACAGAGCTACAATTTAGGATACAGCTTCCTCGTTTCCTCTTTTAATAGCCTATAGTAAAAAAATTATTTTTCCAACAGAAATAAATAGAGTCAAAGTGCAAAATTTAAAACCTCATAACTTCGAAATTTTTATAGATAAATTTTTTCCATGTTCCTGGTATCTTACCTTATATGGCATTTTTCTCTGGGGCGCGAATTCTGACGCACCCTGTATTTGTATTCCTGCAAAAATTTCAGTGACTATGATACCACGACCTTTTATGTATAAATGTTTGTACTTATACTATTTTGGCCTCTTACTATAGCAATTGTGGCCACTTCACAAAAATAGATGCCAAAGCTAATCAAAATACAGAAGTTGAGTGCTTTTAATTTTATTGATTATTTAACAATAATACAATAATAATAATAATAATAATAATGATAACAATGACGAAATGGTATTTTGTAAGTTTTTGAGTGTTTTAATAAAACAATTTTTCATTGTCAAAATTGGTCATCAAATATAGCAACTTGAGTAGGTACTTTTAATTTTTTTAATAAAATATTTTCAAAACAATCGTTTCGAAGATTGTTGAGTGTTTTTTTATCTACACCCTCTCACTCAGTAATAGTTATTTATATCGAGCGATCAAGATAATTTGTAATCGATGCAGAGATGACTCGATTACAAATTATCTTGATCGCTTGATTTATCATGGGAATAAAGAGTAAAGTGCCTTCTATGTGTCAAATACGAAAAAAGTTATTAGATGTTGATTTTAAACAATTTTTCTTAATTTGTATTTGCTACATACGAGTAAAAGGCACTCTACAGAAAAATAGGTTTTTTGAAAATTTCCAACGCAGACTTGATTTTTCAAAACTAAAATTATGTTAGAAATTAGCCTTTAACAAAACTAAACCCCAAAAAATAAAAATTTAAATCGAGAATTTTTTATCTTTTGCAGGAGTCGTTTCACCTGTCCGGGGACACACTGCATATTGTCGACCTAAAACGTGGCTGAACTTCCTGTTTATGACAAATTGTCCGAGATATCAAGTTAAAGTTTAGTTTTTTAATGTTGTCTACATTTACAAGTGTTTTATAAATAACACAATTGATCTAGCATCTCTTTAGATCAAAGAGCTTCAACGATCATTTTTAGAATGATGATATTTTTTTTTTGAGTGACATTTTAAAAGATTTATACACAATGTGCAAATTTTGGAAGGCCTAGTTTTTTATGTTCACTGATGGTCCAGTGACGGAGAGTCAATTTCGTCCGCCCAATTTTCATGACAGACTACAATTGTAAATTAGTCTTTAGGTTTTTCTAACCTTGTTTCAGAATTTTCATTAACGTTTGTCATGATCACAGAATGGTCGATAGTAGCTCGATGGTCCTTAATATTTTTTACCTGTGCTTTGTCTTACATTGTTTGAGTTATAGTACCAGTCCCCATGTTCAGGGTGAAAATCCGATCTAAAATGAATAAAAATGTAATTAAATTTGACAAGTATTTGAATGTCAATTATAATGACAATAAAGCACAGACTAGAATAAATTTTTGGGAATTTACGGGAAAAGGGCTGACGAAATTCAATGTCCATCACTGTATGTGCGTCATATAGACTGATTTTAATAAATCTTTTAAAAGATGATAGTACAGGTCTAAAGAAGTCAAAACAACTTGCTTTATCCGAATGTTTATAGTTTTTTATATATAGAGGATGCAATTGCAGTGTGAATCACCCTGCATTATTCGGCATGTTCATGTATTATGAATTAATGAAAACATTCCAAAATAGGAGTACGACTCGATGTTATAAGATAATATTGTTTTAGTAAAATTGGTTACTAATATCTATGAATTGTCAAAAAAATCAAACTTTTCTTATCAACTTTTTTATTTAATAATATCATATATAAACAGTAGCAAATTTCAAGTTACTAGTAGTTGCTTTTTCTTTTTCGAACAAAATGTTACACTTTGTATTCCTCCTATTCCTATTTCTAAGTATCAGTCGTCAGTGTTTATGTCTTCAAGATGGTTAAGTTATGATTAATAATATTTGTATATTCATGCAACGTTTTATTGTTTTTTTTTTCAGATTATTATTGGCGAGATTACACTGATGGTGAAGTGCCCATAGATGCTGTAGTCGGAGGTAAAATTGCTGACGGAAAAAACGTTTATATTGGACAAGCATACATAGAAAATCAGGGTGAAGTAGTCTGTGAAATTTTTGATGGAATAAAAGAAGTTTATGTTCCGACAAGAGATAATATAATACAAAAAATAGAGGACAATATAAAGGTAGTATGTATAAGAGTAATATAATTATATTATTAACTATACGTTTATTCACTGGAAAGTTGAAAAGTATTACATTTCAACATCATTTAACATAATTATGAAATATCAGGTTCTGTATTTGGTTTGGTTCGATACCTCTATAAGTAAGTGGATCTCTAACTTTGTATTCGAAATTACTTTATATTTTATTAAAAAAATTAAATAAAAATAAATCACATAGTCGAGAGGAGGTGTTGCTGGGATGTGATATTTAATTTATTAAAAAATGAGGATGTCCTGGAAGAGGCAGATGCGACGAAATATCGTCTGCTTACTTGTAAAACCTTCTAAGTTCGATTTTCAGTTATTTAGATTTAGAAGGATTTACAAATAAGCCGAGGAAATGCCGAGGGCACAGCCCCCGTGAGCCCCATCGGGGGCAAAGCCCCATATGCTTACTTATAAAATCTTCTAAATCTAAATGACTGAAAATCGGACTTAAAATGGAGTGAGTGAAAGTCGAACATTCACTCACGGGTAACCATGGAGATTGGTCACTTTCTGAGGAGGTATCGAACAAAGAAAATAAAAGAGGAAACCGAAAATTATTTATTAACGCATGGCCCAATTTAAAAACTATTTTATTTTTATTTTAGTTTTTAGCAGTTTTCAATAAACATTGATTAATTTTACTCAAATCATTTCTCAGTGTTCCTAAAATTTTTAATGTATCTTCATATCTGTCTTCAATTTTTTTTCTTTGATTTTTTTTTGGTCTCAGGAGCAAATAATAATTATAGACTAATGTTTTATGTTGGGGTGGTCATAAACTTATTAAAGAATCAAACCCAAAAACACGGTATATCTTTCGGCAGACTTTGCCTAGGTTTATTTGCTAACCGGGGCGCTTCGCGCTTTGGTCATCAAATTTTGCCTTGGGAAGCACCTAAGCACCTTCCCACCTCGGTATGTTATCTACTATTATTTTCTAGATACTTTGTGGTCCTCAACAAAATTTATATTGGGTTCCAACAGATTCTAATAACGTTCACACGCTACTGGCTAATAATAGTGGAGTGCATGGTGGTCATCAAGATGGACAAGGAAAAATAAACATTGGAAGAATAAATATTAACGGAGGCTCTAAAATTGGAAAAATTGATACATTTTACAAAACAGATGTTACCATGTTTTATAATAATAATTTAAAAGAAGAAAGCGCTATGTCTTACGAAATTCTTTTGTACAAAAAACATAATGCGATGAGTAAAACAATTGCTAATAAGGCAATGTAAGTTAATCAACGCTGTACTAAGAATGTAGACTTGTGTTTTTATTTCTAATTTGATTTTTAATAATTAATACATTAACTCTTCAAAAGAACGATATAATACGTAAATTCACTGTCCTAATGTCTTAAATTGTAAAATTGGTAAATATATCTCAAGGATTAAGTATAAAAAAGGAACCTTTTCCCAAAATCGTTTTCAGGAGCCTAATAGGTTCCTTAAATAAACTCCAAGCATCATTAGAGGCTATTTCGTAAATTAGTCTCTAATGATGTTTGAATAAAACGAAACCAGTTAGGCCGGCTCCTGAAAATATTTTTGCTTGGAGTGGATTCCTTTTTATCTATTTTTTTTATATTATACAGGCTGTTTCTGCTAAATTCCAATTAGAAGTTTTGGGAGTTCTAACAATGACATTTATAAAAATAATTGTTTGTAGCCATAATCGGTTAGGTTCTACCGAGGGTTCTGCTCAATGAGAATATTTTCAAGATGGCGGCACTTCCTGTTACATCGGAAGTGGATATCAACTTCGTTATTTTAAACAGAAAGTTATGTTTTTTATTGAGTTTTATGGATTACTCAAGTGATTTTGAGAGAGTCTTTATCAGACTTCCCTATAACTTAATTTACCAAAAATCGATAACTCTACCTTACCTTCCCTATACCTACCTAAGTCTAACCGTTTTCGAAATGTTTAGACTTTTTTAAATTTTTTCAAACGCTTTCTTTACACTTGGATAGACATATATCAAAAGTCCCCAAACGTGGTGGGCGAGCTTTTAAACCTGACACCATCTTGAGGAAAAAACACAATCATTTACAGTCAGCTGGTACCATGCTTTCAAATAAATTCCTGATCGAAGTCCTAGGACTCTAAAATTAAGTTGGCAACATTGACAAACAAATTCAAACGTCACAATTTTGTAGTAAATTGTCACTCATTTCGGACGGGCGAACGCTAGCATGGCCGCCGCCTGACACAATCTCAGATCAGCAATAATTCAATGTTGCCAACTTAATTTCAAAAAGACCTATTTTAATAAAAAAAAATAAGATTAATTTGCATAAATTGGAAAGGAATAATAAATAGATCAACTACAAAGATCAATTTTTATTTTTTGAGCGAAGTCCATAATATCAAAATGAAGGGAAATAAAAAAATAAAAAACTGATGATTTTTAATTATATGGAAAATTCGCTTACTTCAACTGAACTCGCCAAGTTAAAAATCGTAGTTTTAATAAGAAAATAGTAAAAAAATGCCTGTTTTATATTCATAATTTTCAATATTTAAATAATTTCACTTGAATCTCGTATGACTTTAAAATTAAGTTGGCAACATTGACAAATAAATTCAAACGTCACCAATTTAAAGTGAATTATCATTCATTTCTGACGGGCAAACGCTGACATATCCGTCGCCTGACACAATCTCATATAACTAATAATTCAGTATTGCCAACTTTATTTCAAAATCATGGGTCACTTTGTTCGAAAATTTATTTAAAAAATACTAACAAAGATTTGAAAATATTGAGTGGTATTTTTCTAATTCTAATATTTTACTTGCTTGCCAAGCCCCGATTTTTTCATTTTCTTCCCTTTAAACCCGCCCTCTGCCCCGGCTGTCTTATCCCAACCCTGGAACTGATTTCGAGTGGTTTACAAAGGGCGGCCCGAGGGCTGCAGCTATCCGCTCCTGCGATAGGACTGACGGCATTATCCGATCGACTAGACCTAAACTTTAAAAAGGGAAAAAAATAGAGCCGGCTTTAATTAAATCTCCTAATTGGGTGCAAGCAGATAATTAAGCATCAAAAATTATTCTAATCGATTTTCTCGAGATCTTTTCTTGGGACTCTGAATTTTTTTCCCTCTTAGTACATAACTCAGCTATAAGTAATTAATTTTCCTTTGGAAGTTAACAGGATTTCTTTGTTCGCTGATTTCTCGGCTAATTACATTTTACAAATAGAAGTTTTTCTTGTTTTGGGTGAAAGCGTTGATTCGTACGGGAATTGGGGCTGCTTGAGGAAACACATCCATTTTGTTCTCTTCACCAACAGATGTCCCTGCGGTATATTAGAGAAAGGGAGGGTGGGACATGTAATTATACATCACTTCATTATATTTCGCTAATTACTTTCGAATGACTCCTGTTCAACTTTCTTAACGATACTGAATTCACTGCCGGCATAATTTAACTTGTTAACAACCACAAAGAACGCCATTTTACTTTATTCCCACACTTGCTTCGGAAAAAAACCCACTTCAAAAGGGATAACTTAAATTGGAGTTTGGTTATTTTCTCTAATTCAACTCGAAACTCATTAGAAACTAAATTCTTGAGGAATTCGCATTTAGGACACCAAAATTTAAATAACAAAACTTTATTTCGTACAAAAGCAATAAAACACGACACAACTATATTCTTAAATACTGTATTTTTTTTACTACAACTAAATCAGACTTCAACAATTGTAATTGTTCCTTTGATCGGTTTTTCCAAGTCAAACTTAATTTATAAATAATTTTTCCAATTTTTTAGAAATCGCAAATAAAAGGAAAACGTGAAATAATACAAGGATTGAGAATTTGTAGACAGATTTGGTAAAAATTGATCAATTTTTGAGATTCGGAGACTAATTTTTGTTTTTTTTTTGTCAAACCCAATTTGTGCAAAACTTTTTCAATTTTCTTAAAAACTGCGT